TAGCAAAATTCTCCTATTAGCTTCTGGAAGGAGAAGAAAGATCTTCCAGGTGGTTTTCCCAAAATGGAAAGAGGGAGAAGGAAAATCTAGTTAACGTCAGCAGCACAGCACCCATCGAGCCAGTTGATTCCACTCTCAATACCAAATTGTGGCTGGAGAAGCAGAAGAATTTGGCACTAGAGTTGTTTGTTGATTGACATTAAGATTTGCCGCCAGTTCTGAAGGATCATTAGATTCTTTAGGCAGCTCTGCAGTATAAAAAGTGACTCCTGCCCTCAAGCCAACCTTAAAGGTGTTCTGCAGAGAAAGGAAGCCGCAGAATCAATTCCGGCAGAATGGTGCATCAAATTAAGGAAGGTCATTGTTTTGTTTTGTTTGTACATTGAGCGTTCTATACCCTCCAACTCCAAAGACTGGCTTTCTTCTTTTTTCAAAGAAGAGACTTGTCTCTTCTGCTGCAGAGGAGTATGAGAGGACCAAGTGCTGAGACATCTCCAAATTCCAGGGCCATTGGACTGAACTGGTCTGCAGGCTGGGTCTTGTTTTCGGTGGTCTTGCATACAGGAGTAAAGGTCCCATGCTCATTTCTGGTACAACTGAAAGCAGCATTGTTCTAAGCCACACATAGAAATACTGGCCCTAAAAGCTCCTTCTCAACTGCTATGTCTTGTTGGGTGAGAGGGGTCCTCCTAATCCTTCAGTAAGTTAGGGGCTTGAAGAGTTGCATTTACTTGTTCAGACATCTGCAGAGCTCATTAGTGGAACAGAACACTCTCCCCGAGCCATCTTTTCCACCTTAAACAAGTAAATGTTTACTAAACAAGCAAACATCTTCCAAGATGCCTGACTAACACCCACAGAGGAACTCACAGAGGTATGTCCTACTGGGTACTGACTGAAGGAGAAACTTAATTTTAAAGCAAGGGAACTTCATAGACTGTTGGAAATAATTACCACTGTGGAAATACTTGTCTCTAGTAAGGCAGTCTAGATACTTACAGTCCCAAAGTTGGGTGTCCAATTAATCCTCTGGCAAGCACTTTCTCATACAGAGAGGCACATATATTGAGGTAAATACTTCACTTCCTCTATAAAATATCTCTACGCTTATATATAAAAATGTACATTTTTACATGTAAAGTACTGGTACATATAATATACGAATCACAACACAGGAATAGATATGCAGCACATGTCTTTCCTTCAGGACAGGAATTCAAGCTCAATAGTTAAGGAGACCAAGTATAATTTATCAAAGGCCAGCATGACAATGACCCCCAATCGATGAGGCATCTAGAGCTATAGTGGTAATTACCTCAGCCTACTCAGTGTCCCCTAAAGGTCCTGAGACAAGGCCTTCAAGAGAAACACTGTTGTCAAGGTCTTATTTTCAAATAGAAAAATAAGACAGCGCCAGAAGCTGGCAGGAAGCTAGGGGGTGGGGTGGATGAACGGGGGCGGGCTTTCTGCTGTCAGGGTTCTCCAGCACCCGGCTACTCTGCAGACTGTGTCGGATGAGGGAGTTGGGGCATGATGTCACTGCTACATGCAACATAAATACCAAAAGAAAAAAGGAAACTGAAACTGTACAGAAAATAAAAGAAGTTTCTCTTCTAGAGAAAGACAGGGGGAACTGGACTCCGGGCTGCTGGGAACCCGTTTTACTCACAATATATCACTACCAGTGTGCAGTTAAAATAGAGTAGGGGCCGTATTCCGAGGCAGCAAAGAGAAAAAAAAATAAATCAACAATATGTCAATGATTAGAAGTTCAAGAAAATTCCTTCAAACACATCAATTTAGACATGACTTGTCCCCTAGGAGTCTAGGCTTTGGCAAACTTTCAGAGGCTGGGGGAGAAAATATCAATCATTAGACCAGCTTTGTTATACAGAAAAAGAGAATGGGTAAGTAGATTCTGAGAGCTTGCTGCATGGCCAGACGCTGAATTTGACCCTCTTCCTTGATGGAGAGCTATGAAGAAATGGAAAGAAATGCAAAAGTTAAACTAAACTACCACAGAATTTCCAGGAGTGGAATGTCCACACTCGATATTTCTCCAGAGAGTATGACACAAAACATTAAAGTCATTGAACACAAGTGAATGAGGAGGTGGAGGTGGGGGTGAAAGGGGTGAAACGCGAAGAGCTAGATTGGGAGAGGAGGGTTAGGAAGCTGTGAATAGGGACCAGCAACTGTCACCAGCTCTGCCCTCATGAAGATGTACCATTCCAGGGTGAATTATTCATACCTGGCCTAACAGGTTTGGACAAATGACTCTGGGTCAGCTGCCCTCTCCTACTCAGGGCACGAGGCAAGGTACATTCAGTACATTATTAACACTTTCAGCTCCTTGTAATGAAAGTTTCTTTATAACCAAAACTTAGCTCCCCCAATTTCCTAACTTGCCTGGTATGCCTTAGGCTTAATAACTAATTTATTCTAACTACCACTTACACATACACATCTGCATCCTGCCCTCTGGAACGGTGGCTGTTAGGGCCGTTTAATTAGGAAGAACAATATTTGGACAATTCTGATTGTTATCAAACATCAACCTCACAGCTGAGGGCCTCCATGAGGGGAGGAGCCCACGTCGGGGGGAGGGTACAGAGAGAAGAAAGTGAGACTCATCACAGCGGCTTGGCACTGGAGGCAGTCCTCTAGTGCTGCGCATGAAGAGAGATCACGCGCTTCACTAGCTGAACCAACTTGAATGGAAATGAAGAGAATAATATTATTTCAAACAATTATGTGCCCTTCCCTCCAGGATAATATTAAAGACCGCTGCTATTTGCTTGCCTAGAACCAAGATGGAAAAGTGTCCTAGAGGTCAAATCCTCATTTCTGGGAACTCAAAAAAGTCCAGCCACTAGATTCCAGCTCACCAGCAGTCTGAGAAGCTTACTCTCCATCTTTCCATTCCACTCCTGCCTCCCTAGACTCTGCTCTCTGTCCAGTCACCAGGGAGATCAACAGGAATTGATGATATAATTTCCTTGCTTGAAAAACAGGTATATTTATGGTAGAACTAAAGCCCAGGTTTCTTACCATGGCACCTGCCTTCCTTCCTGATCTGTCTCGTACCCCTCTCTCTCCAATCCCACCAGCTCCACTGGCTGCCCTCCCTTCCCTCAAACACTGCAAACTCGTTTCTGTTCCTGGCTAAAGCAGCATCTCTACAAAGGTTCCTCACACCCTCAGGCAGTATCCAATCTCTTCACAGCCCCTGTCTTTACCTGAATGTATTTACTTGTTCCTATGATCAATGTTCTACAATCATTCACTAGAGTGTAGGCTGGGTCGGGGGCAGGGACTTTCTCCTGCACACCACTCCATCCCTAGCTTCAAGGATAGTGTCTCGCACAAACACGGGTGCTCACAAAGCAAAGCAGACCTGGGGTGGACTGCCAGCTGAGAAGGGCCTTCGGAGTCACAGAATCAGGAATGGGTTTGTTCTGTGTCTTACACGCCCTTAGACATTCTTCCTGATAGGCTGTCAGAACAGGAGAATTCTTAGGCCCCAAGAAGTTAGAGGTTCTTGTTCTGAGATTTCCATACACATCCATCTTGGTATGGTGTTAAAGTTGAAAGGAGGGGACTCTGTGCATTAAGTCAGTGAAGAAGGGGGAGCAAAACAGTGGGCCAGGGTGTCCTAGACTTGGGGAGCAGCCTGAGCGGATTTCCACAGAAGTTGCTCTAGACCAAGAGTCTTCTCCATGCTCCAGCAGAGTGGTATTTACATCTTACTGGTTTACATTTATTGCATCCCTTTAGGGGTGCGGTGAACAAAGCCCTGCATGGTTCAGCATATCCTAGGAATGGTGTTCATCTGTTTGGTTCCTGCTTGTGAAAAGTATTTTATGGGATGATATTTTATAACTGTGTTCCTACTCATCAGACCCACTGTCACCCACTTTGCCCTATCTCCTGAAAAATAGGTCAGGGCAGAACATCAAGAGAGGCCTTCCAGCAAGCCTGAACCTGTCTGTTGGGTCTATGTAACTCTCAGCAATCTCATCCTATCACTGAACTTGAAGCCCTAATTTCGTTTTGTAAAATGGGATAAATCGCACCCCTTGCCAATTATGCAGGATTATGGTACGGATCAAAGAAAATGATGATCATAAGGCATTTTGGAAAGACTTAATTGCCATAGGAAGGAAGGCATCATTCTTAGTGTTTTCTCTAGGGTTGGGAACAATTTCTATTAGGCAATGAATGCCACATAATCACTGCAAAAGGCATGACCTCCTCAAGGCAAAGCCCACTTTAAGTCCTGGTTTCTCAGGAGCTCACAATCCAGCTGACATTCCTGACTCCCCATATCTTTCTCAAGAGGCCCCATTGGCAAGCTGCTTTGGAAGGGGTTTGAGACTGGATATGCCAGAAGCTACCGAGCCCAATTTCATATGCCCCGAAGAGCAGTGGTGTTTGCAGTCGGTCCCTGGGACAATGATAAAATCCACTGGCAATGGCCAAGTTCTTTTCTTGGGCCAGCCTGAAAGTATCACAGTTGAAAATTCTGGCCTTTGCTACTAAAACCTGCAGCAATCCCAAATGGAAAGAGAGTCAGCTCCCTTTAGGGAAACCGAGTCTCCACATTCCATTCTCCTCTCTGCCCTAGGACAGTCATCTTTACACTTGGCATTCCCATAGCCACTGGGAATCATTTACAAAAACAATCCCTCCTCCATGGCCTTAGCTGGCCTCCTCTCCATAGTCTGTATTTACGGTGTTCGACCAGGCACAGCTAGCTAGTCATCTCTTTAGAGTCAAGAAGGGGGATTACTCCTAGGTGTTGGTGGTGATGATTTTTCAACCTCTGCTCTAATAAAGTGAAGACAGGTATTTCATGTCTCTTTAAACTGCTGGGTGAAACATAAACATATTCAAGAAAATTTGATGTTTAGTGTTTCTTCAATAGGAAAAGGAGAAGGGAAATGAATTTGGGGAAAAGGAAGGAGGGAGGGAGGGACGGGGTAAGAAACACTACTTACGCCGTTTGCAGCCACATTTTTTTATTCTTTTGGGATCTGTGATGTCATCGTGACAGGCCTTGCAGTAAAAAAATGCCCTGGAGAAAGAGAATGGAAAAACTGACACATTTCATAATCCACCCAAATGAAATGAGTACCACATTTCCTCCACTGTGGTGCCAAATTAATGAAACACGCCAGCACTAATTTCCTTTAATCTTTTGAAAGGTTTAGACGTTGACAGACGGAAATGTTTGTTGCAAGACCATTTATTTCAAACACAGGTCTCTGCGATTTGAGTTAGTGCTTCTTTTAATAAACTTTCACTTGAAAAAGAACTGGGGGAAAGGTTGCTGATGTGACACATGGCGTCTGCTTGCTTGTCTTTCATTTTTGAGAACAGCCTTCAATGCTGCTCCTCAGAACATGTGGGCAAGCAGCCCTGGGCCCTCGGTGGGGAAATTAAATACATCTCTGAAACCCTCGGTCTGGTTAACTGTATATTGAAGGGACACAAGGATGACATTCCTCAGGCAAATAAAAATATTCACCTTGTCACTCTGAAGGCATCTTTTTACTTCAGAGAAAGTGAGAGAGGCGGAGAAGGAGATTAGAGAGGGAAAATCAAAAGTGATGAATCAAGGGGTTCCTCTGTCAAATTCCTTCTGGGATTTCACCGCCCATATTTACTGCAAAGCTGGCTGGACCAATTCCTGTGCTCTCCAGCCTTGAGATCATGTAATAAATGAAGGTTTTCTTTTCACTATGGAGCACAGCTCAGCTGGCCAGTGGAACGGGTTTGGGCAGAGGGTATAATAGGATTGGGGTGAGTAGAAGGAGACCCAGAGAAAGCAATCAATCAACAGGAAAATCCCCTGTCTGACTTAAGTGTCAATATGTGATGACAAAGAGCATTGGCCATGTCAAAGCTGTTCTAGATGAAGCAAAATAAGATCATTCAGATGCTATTTAAAATGCTCAAGGCCTAGAAGAACAGCACCGGAGGCCTGTGTCCTATCAGTACTGCGGAGGTGATAAAATTCACTGGAACAACTGTATAGCCTCCAGAGTTCAGGGACTAATGAAATCCCTGGCTTAGCACCTTCACCACCCCCAACACAAAACTGAATGCCAGGGATAAACATGGTCTCTCTCCTTGGCAAGTGCTATAGAGAAATAAACAAAATTCTTGACGATTTTATTCCCAGGTTCCTCTTTATGTTTTCGATCATAGAACTGGGATTTTTGGAAACCACTGTTAAGACTTCTGATCTGAAAGAGAGCTGAGATCTTGCAGCCCAAATCCCCGGGACTCAAGCGTCCTCATTTGTAAATGGAGGAGGTAGTCACAGCCTGCCTAACATCATCTTGCGCTGGAACTTGGCCAGCCCCGGGACTTCTAGATTCAAGCCCCGTGCTCTTTCCACCCCAGCAGCTCATCCACTATTGCTTTAAATGCCAGTTTTCATCTCCCCAAAACAGTAAAAGGTAGCTGATTGTTTGACCTCAATGGCAATGTGGCTAGGAACCCAATTGATGATGAGCTGCTCTGGAAGGGGAACTGCAGAAAAGAAGAAAGCAGTTTTGTTTCCACTTCCTTTGTCCATTTTCTCCCCCACATTTGACATTGCTACACATATTAATAATAATAGCTAACACTTATAGAGCATAGACTATAGACCAGGTGCTATTCTAAGCATTTAATAAGTATTAACATATTTTATCCTCAAATCCTTTGACAGAGGTATGATTATTATCTTATTTTTACAGATAAGAAAACTGAAAAACAGAGAGGTTAGATGGCTTGCCTAAGGTCACACAGTGAGTGGCAGAACCAGGATTCAAATCCACACAATCTAGTCCCAGTGCCCAAGGTCTTAAACACATATCTAGTAAAGAGATGATGAAATGATGAGCTTGAATAGACCATTGGAAAGATAAAGTGTAATTACTTCATGAATTAAAGCTGAATTCTGAAAGTAAAATACTCACAGAGGCCAGACAGGTAAAGGTAATGAATGAAACGGGGGGAGAGGGGAGGGTCTGTGGCAACCTAGAGGCACATCCCCCAACTGGAGAGGGCAGAGCATCTAAGCTCCAGCTGATTTTTGCCAAGTGGCACTTCTCTGCCAGCACCATTCTATTTTCCCCCCACCTCTGCCTCTCCTGCTCACCTGGCAAACCCCCCACTTTACTGCACACCTGCACCTGAGCAGCTGAGTGTTGCTGACTGATCTCCCTTTACATCCATGGCCCTGGACTCCAGGGGCCGTTTTACACGCCTCAGAATCTATGCTCTGTCTCCACCTCCTGCCTCAAGCCCACTTTCTCCACCTCAGTAAGATGGAATCATCATCCAGCCAGTTGTGTAAAGCTCAGATCGAGGCTCCATTCTTGATTCCTCTTGTTTCCCTCGCTCCCCATGCCCAGTTCATCAGGGCATCCTACAAACTCTCCAAAAGATATTCTGAACTGGTCTTTCTTCTCACCGCCTCTGCTCCCCAGTCTAGCCCAAGCCATCGTTTCTCACCTAAGCTGCACAGATGCCTGCAAGTCTCTGGCACCCCTCCTGTTCCCCTGCATCTGATTCTCTGCAGTGCAGGTGGGAAGGCCTTTTAGTAACGTAAACTAGGCAGCATATACCATTCATGACTCATTTTACAACAAATCCAACCTCTGTATACAGTCCTTTGGCAACTAGCCCTACTATCCTGTCTAACCTCACCTCACCATGTAACTGTCCCCAACACACTCTTTTTCCTTTTGTGTTCAAGGAACACAACAAACTTGTTCCCATATCTCCTCTTACCTTCAGATCTCTGTCTGATGGATTCTTTCCCATCACCTCAATCTCTGCTCAAGTGCCACTGCCTCCAAGCAAGCTTCACTTATACCCAGTCTAAGGCGGTGACCCAGCTGCATTAATGCTTGGCACCATGACTAAACACAACCGCAATCCTCTCCGCCCTAGGACGTGAGCCCATGAGAGCAGGGGCTTCTCTGCATCGTTCGCCGTTGTCTCCCTGGCACCTAGTACAGGTGTCCTAAAAAGTGACCGACCGACAGATGTTTAATGAACGAAGGAATGCTGCCCAGTAATGTTGGATTTGCAAGTTTTTCAGGAGAAATAAGTAATAGGGATTTTTATATAAAAAATTAAGACTTCTTCATCTTGGTAACTAATTTTTTTAACTCCTACATTAAATACTATTTGAAAGTTATTGAAAAAGCAAAATATTTAGTGGCAAGGAGTAAAGGGCCAGAGCCCTAATGCTCATCCCAAAGTGATCTTGTTAAGATTGGAATTGGATGGTTTTGCTCCTCTTTTTTTTTTTTTTCCTAGAACACTGTATCTGAAAGTTTCTATGAGCCAGAATCCATTAACTTCTTCTGTTGTTTTTTGTAGCAGAGGGTGCAAACTCAATACAAGAGCATCATAATCTACTTTTCCATTTTTACAAAACTTGTTTAGTTTCATTCAAATCTCCAATGTCCTTTCTGCGGTTTTCTGCAGTCTTCATCTATTTGAAATCCCCTAACTGACAGCATTTGCTCTGACACATCACACACCACGGAAAATTACAGGCTGGTGTTGTAGCTGATTGTGTCAGCATGTATTTGTGAATACCATAAAGCACTGAAATGAGACATCCTGCACTCCCTAATATAGGAGGTAATTTGTTTTTTGGACTGCCTGGTATTTGTGACATTCATTAGTGAGAGATGCAATAGGAAATAGAATTACACAAATGGGAGCTTCATGTTATATTTGCTATGTGGGAGGCACACGTGATCTATGGTGCCGCTCTGCTCCCCAGCCCCCTGCTCATGGTGCTGAGACACCGCTCCCAGCTTTTGTGTCTCAGTCTGGATGTGAGCACACCCTTCTCTTCCAGGGGTGCTGGGAGGTGGGCGTTCAGTCTGATTCCTCCCACCCCACTTCCCTCTCTCAGGGGAACCCAGTTCTCAGGGTACTCCTAAAGAACAGCAAGGACCCGTAAACTAGATAGATAAAGAGGTTTTCCTCTCCCACACCTGAGTAATGGTAATTTTGCAGAAGTGAATTTGTCATTAGAAAGCTCAATTTTAAAGATAGATAGATAGATAGATAGATAGCTAGATAGATAGATAGACAGATAGATAGATAGATAGAAAGAAAGTTGTTGGGGTTTTTTTTTGTTTTTTTTGTTTTTTTGCTTTTCCACCCCATTTTTTTTCCTGAAAGCTTTTATGACTAGTATAGCTAGCTTGCAAGAGTGAGTGACAGGGAAGATAATAGTAAGCATCAGCTGTCAAATATCATAGTTCTGTGCTCAACATGTCATGTTCACCTCTTGGCAGATAACTGAGAATGTAAGACTTTCCTGGTTTTAAATCCTGGCTTTGAACCAGCAGTGTGGCTTTGGGCAAGTTAGTAAACCAATCTGTGCCTCAGTTTCCTCATTTGTAAAACAGAAATAGTAATGCTGCCTATCTCATAAGGTTGTTGAGAGGATTAAGTGGATTCATCAGTGCCTGGTACCTGGTATTTAGAACAGTGCCGCCACACAGTAAACTCTACATAAGAATTTGCTAGTATTATCACCTCTGATAGAAACTGTGGGGTTTAGGAAAGGAAAGACAAGCTCCTCTCCAGGCTCTACCACTTGATTATGTGCTGGCCTGGACATTTATCTCAACTGCACAGATGAGGAGACCAAAGCCAAGGTGTTTCAGAAGATGTACCTTATAAGGCTTTTTTTCAGGAGGAACAATAAAGGATGTAGAACACCTAGTACAGGCCTTGCTTTGAGTAGGAACTCATTAAATGAAGAAGATAGGCTTAAATAAATTATAGACCTTCATGATTAATAATTTATGGAAAATATTTTAGGTAATGTTATTGTTGAGCTGAGTGACCTATGTAACCATCTGAGTCCCATTTCCTGCTAGTAAATTTTTCCTAGTTCATAGGACAGAAGCAAATATAAAAATATTCCATGGTGGTCTGCAAAGAGCCCTATAATTTCCTAGGCTGCTTGAACAGGTTTAAGGATATTAATAATGGTGTCATAAAACATTGAGGCCAATGAAACCCTGGGCTATACCTACAGAGGCTTAAGAATTGAACCTGACAACTTCAGCCACTTACCTAGGGGGCCACATACAGAAATATAGCCAGTTTAGTATTTCACCTGAAATCAATCCAAACCTTTTGAGATTTCATTTGACACTGAAAGTAGAAACTTATAATTCTCAAGTAAATTTATCTGCATAACAATATTAAGTAAAGAGCGGCAGACGAGGAGTCAGCTATCCTATGCTATGTTGTTCTGCGCATCAGGCATCAGGGTTGGGGGGGCCCTGAACAATCAATTCAGCTCTCTGGAACTCTGTTTTCTTCCTTGGGAAATGAAGGAGGAGGTAACTAGGTTCTCCTAACTCTAAAGTGTTATTATGCAATTCAAAGATGTGGAGTGGATTATGTGAAGAGGAACCCATGGAAGCATTTGGAAGCACAATCCCTTTTTCCTGAGATTTGGTACCATTCGACGCCCAAAGGCATGTTACGAAGTTTTAGGGGTAGGGCCTTGTACATGCAGAGAAGCATGCCTGCCCCAGAGGGTCAAGATGTCTATGGCTGCCATAGAAATGAAGGCAGGTGAAAATGAACTCTTACCTTTTAACTTCTTTGGCATCGCTTGCGATGAAAAATCCTAAAGTACCTTCTTGGATCTTAAGATGGTTTCCAGGATTAATTAATATACTGCTCAGTGAACAAAAACAAAGAAGACACATTTGTGAGGTCATGTTCTGAGTGAAACCTTGAAGGTGACACCGTACTGTTAAATTGTATAGGGGGCCCACTAGTCTAATGCTTTCCCGAAAGATTTTGTCTGGAGCTTGAGGTCCACCATCTCACACATTTATTTGGATAATGCCATCATAAAGCTCGGCCCCTCAGTTCCCAGGTTTGGCGTGCTCCCAGTTGTAAAAATCAAAGCAAATCTAGGCTTCAGGGCCAGGTTTTTATAATGGGGTTGCCATCATGGGCTTCTGATTTGAAGCCAAATTCCCAATAATGTACCCCAACATTGAGTGTTATTAGTTAATAAAGTTACTGCTACACCAATTTTCCACTAGATGACAGAGCATTAATGGGACCCCTATATGCATACAAAAACATACACACATACACAACACACACTACTGCAGGGAATGGTACACAACACCCATAACCAGTGCAGAAGCAAACAGAACATCTGCGTGACATTGCTGAGGACCTGGAAGTAGATTCCATGTGCAGTCTATGTAGAAAGAATAAGGTCTACCAGAACAGTAAAAAAGAAAAATGCCAGCGACTGAAGACACTTAATGATTCCAGTCTGCACTTTACAAAAATGTAAGGGAGTCTTTGAATAAGGTGTGTGTCTAGCACATCCTGATTGGGGCAAACTGTAATTAGTAGACAAATGCAAATCACCGCTTAAAAAACTTCCCCTTGCAGGGAAGTATGAACCTAACTATACACTGTCCTATTTCAAAGTGGTATAAATAGATTAGCAGACCAAGTCGTGTTTGGACTGACAGAAGAGATAAATGTATCCTAATCTAATAAATGGATGAAACAAACAAGTTTAATTTTCTGCAGATCAAAAGCAGAATCGAGGAACGCTGTACACAGAGACTGAGATGAGGCTTTGGGCTGAATGGATATCAAATTTAGGGACTCTAAATTCAGCAACAGATACAACAGAGGGAGTCTTTGATCTGAAAATCGGGTGTTTCATGTAATAGATGTTTGGAATCAGGCTAAAGGAAGTCCTTAACTGCCTAAAACAATCAAAACGGAGGATGGCAATTAACATGTAATCCTTTTCTGCTGCTAAAGCCATTTCAGAAAAGTGCTGTGACCAACAGAGCGACGTGTCTGCAGCAATACAGGAAGGACCCAGGTGAACTTCTGTCCTGTTGGGAAAACGCCGTAGATAATTATTGCAAAATAATTGTTTGTGGTCACAAGAACCTCCACTATTACCCATAATAAGACCTGACGGGAGGAAACCAATCCTGCGTCACTGCTATTATTAACACTAAATACTAGCAAGAGTTCATGAAGATTTGACTGTTCTGCCCTAGAACCACAGACAACACGGAGATTCCTCACAAATCAGGCGGCAGCAGGCCAGGACTCACAGCACAGCTTGCAAGGGGCAGCGCTGCACGGATGCCTCCCAATTACCCGTATTTTGCTGTGTATAACACACACTTTTTTGCCCACATTTTTGAGGGAAAAATAAGGATGCACATGGACAGTACTAATTCTGTATCTATGTAAATGTTTTTAATTCTTTTATGTATGCTTGTGCATTAAAAGTGTAATTCTAGGAAGCAACAACGATATCCATATGCAAAATAATATCCTGAGTATGACAATCAGATTTGTTTCTAAATATAAATATATAAATGACTGAACTAAAATTAAAATGGAAGTTTTTTTTTCCCTGGAAGTCTGGGCCAAAAACGTGGGTGCACATTATACATGGCAAAACACGGTACCTGCCAATTCTGCATATTAGTTGACCAGCCCTCTGACTTCTCACGATCATGAGGAGAAAAGGGTCTGAACTTCTACAGTTTAGGTGGTTCTCTTTTCAAAGCTGGTTAAATGCAATGTTTTAGGAAGGCAGTGTTCTGGATTTTGCATACTCTCTTACCCCCATCCCTGCAAGGCAGTTCTTATATGCCCTGGCTCTGCAATCAGAAGTTGGGTCCAAATTTAAGTACAGCCATTTAGTAGCTGTCGGACTCTGGGCAAGTCACTGAGCCTCTCTAGAACTCAATGCCCTCACCCACAAGATGGAGATGGAGGTAATCATCTTCTTCAGAAGATGAAGCAAGATAATGGACAGAAGGCTTGATGCCTATTGGTTACTGTTTCTTTTATTATTTATTATTGCGGAAAAAAAGCCAAAAGAGTTATTTCATTCTCAATGGAATTATCAGATTTTCCTTAGCTGGCCCCAGGAAATGGAATACAGGGCTTATAAGACATCCTGGCCATAAGGAGATAAAAGTTACAGGTGAGGGACTATACACTTTAGAACAATGGACAAGGACATAATAAAAAATTCTGGGTAAATTCTGGAGACTAAAGGAGCTAATTCCTTAAAATTGGAAAATTCTACCTGTTGACATGTATTCACTTAAGAGCGTAAAAAAGCTTCCTGAGTGGGGAAAAAAAAAATTCTATCATGATTTCAGCAATGCAATTCAAAAGGGGAAGTTTGACACTCATCAATGTCTGGGTGACACACAAGCACAAAACAAGCCTCGCACAGAATCCGCTCCCCCTTTTTACATTATGTGCTTCGGAAACTGCACTCCAGTGATGGATCCCACTGTGCCGTGGTGGTGACAGTGAGGTTCCTATCAATGAAAAGTCTCTTTTCATTTCCTCTGTTCTTTATCAACAGTGAGGAAGAGCTGGCCTACAGTAAGAATTTAGGATTGTCACTCCAGAGACTGCAGGTGGAGATCATTTATTACAGCCCTCAGGCTTGCTTCAGTCAAGTTTGAGGGTGGAGAGGAAAAGACGTGGGCATGGATGTAGGGCAGACCTTGTTCCAATCTCCATTTTGCTGCTGCTGCTGGTTAAGCACGCAGGTGCCTGTGTCAGGCCTGTGGCTTCGGGTCCTGGCCTTGGGCATGGGATGCCACTGAGCCTCACACTCCTTGTCAGGGAAATGGGGTGAACAATCACTAGCTTAGAGTGTTGCTAAGAGAATTAAAGTACATGCTATGTGTCGAGTGATTGCAACATAGTAGATGCTTAATATATGGCTGCGATAATTAAGTGTGCAAGGTAACTGCAACAAGAACATGAGAAGCAAATAATCTCTCACAGCATCGCATGCCCCATTTTGTTCGTGGTGCAAAGAAACTACCCAGGAGGTGCCCTATTGGCCCTTGAAAGACCTTTTTACTGACCACAGTATCTGGAACATTTTATTCTTGTGCAGTATCAGGAGATGGGCTAATTTGGACTGGCTTTTGGCTACACAGTGGAGTAACTCTTTGTTTCTTAAACTTTATGGCTAAATTTATAAGGCACTAAGAACCTCCAAGGACCTCAGTGACCATGTAATCCCAGAATGTCCTCTTGTTCTCTTCCGGACAGGGCTCAGAGGCTTTAAATCACTTCTACGTGGTGCGTGAGGCTGCCTCATTTGCAGTGGTCCAGGTCAGGCTAAGGCAGCCTTCTGGGTGGGATGAGAGGAACGAGCCCAGCTCTAGAGAATAATGAAGGAAAGACATCTAGATACATAAAGATGCTCACTGGGCTGGACTCCACTCCCGCATCTGAGGGTTTGGTAAACAAGGACATGCGCCTGACTCCAGGGACCGCTGCATACAACACTCCCTGTTCGGGTACAAAGTTTCAAAGACTCTTTGAGGAAATATATTTTCCCCTTTTCATATTTTAGACATTAAGTCTTTTATACACATTCCAAATCTATGAAGTTTAAATAAAGTATTGATCCTCATCTTTTTGAAAATATAAAATGTTAAAGATCCTAGACAGAAGTAACTTTTTTGTTCCTGCAAAGGGCCCACTATCCTTAAAATGTGTTATTGACCTTCTAATGGGAATATGTAAATCTTTCCAAAGGTCTTTCATCTCTTAAAATATCCAATGTTAAGTTTGTTTTTATGACTGCCAGAAGTCTTCCGCCCTGTGTAGCACTTTAAATCAATCTCTGACTCTAATTTTGTCTAATTCACTAGTTTATCAGACAGAGATAAACTTCAAGATGTCATGTGAACAATCAAGAAAATCTCTTTAAAAAAAAAGTCCATTTATCAATTAGCAGAATTCCAACAGGGACATCTTCTTGGCAGGGGTGGGCCTTCCCTCATTCCAAGGAACCTATAAATTATCCTCTTTCTTCTATGACCTTGTTAATTTCAACTGAAAACATTCAGTGATAACTGGAGGCAAAGGGCTGGTGTGGTCCCTTCCCCAAGGATTCCTGCTCTTTCTTTTCCTCTCAGACTAGTTTTGTATCAAGACTTATTCTTCAGCTCCTCACCCTCTACAGGAGCAAATATTTTTTGTAAGGAACTCATAGTTGAGTAAAGGAGTGAAAAGTACGATCATATTTTATTTACTTTTATAAATTAATTTCTCATAGTAGCCAGCTGCATGGAATAGGCACTTTTCAACTACTTGTTGAATGAGTGAAAAACATAAATCATTGGTCTCAGTTCCAAAAGTGCTCCCTTCCCTCTGGACTGAGGAGAAAGGCAGTCACAGCTGTCTTTCAGGACCAAGCTGCAGTTCTGTCAGTCAGGCCTCCCAAGGGGCAACCACACCTCTTCTAGAGGGTGATGTTGCTAAGAGAACGCTAATATCCAGAGATACTAAGTATAAATATGTAAATATACAAAATACATAAACAGCTAGCCATGTGGGGTGTTGGAGCAACTGATTTCAATATTGAAAACACTACTCACTTAGAACTGAAATATATGCCCCTTAACATAAAACATATTCGCATGAAACTGGCTAGCAGGGCTCGGTCCCCCAGGGAAATGTCCCTGCCAGTCCCTCTAGGGTGTGGGGAGCTCCAGGTCTCAAGCTGCTAAGCATTTCACTGTGTATCTCTTGCTGAACTTTGGTCAGGGTGGACAAAAAATGCATTCCCTTTCTCCACCACTTAAGCATTAACTGGGAAACATCTAGTTACTTCTTCTCCAATTATCAAAAACTTTACTTGTTTGCTGCTTTTAGAGAAAAAAAGTGATTAGTAATTCAACTGAAATAGATTTTTTTAAGGCAACTTTTATCCACTACGGATAAATACGGATAAATGCGACAGGTGTTTATCTCTTTCCTCCACATTCAATTTCTGGTAGGTGTAATGTACCATTCCCTGAGCAATTATAAAAATATCACTTGCATGAGAACAGAGTTTGTATTTGATAACATGGTAAACATATCTGTGTCTAGAAAGCTAATGGGACTTCATCACCTAGAGCAAAAGAAAAAGACCAATATAGGACTTCAGTTTATGCTATGCCCATGGGAATCATGCCACTGAAAGGGGCCTTTTGACCACATGAGGTCAAATGAGATTGCTATTGGGTGGGACTTTCTTTGAACCAATTGGTTCCCATCTCAGGGAGTACAACTGCCCTGCAGTTTAGGAGCTGTGTTAGGGCAGAGCCTATAGAAACCCCCAATCTCAAATCTTACTGCCTTTCTGGCACTCTTCATTTCTTCTGGGCATGAAAATATATGCTGCTGGAGTCCCACACAACTAGACACACACACTTTTCACAGTGTGTACTCCATGCTTCAATATACTTGAGCCTAGTTCACTTACAGAGACACAGAACAATGAAGATTGCTCCCAGGTGGTCAGACTCAAACGACTGTCATTGTGGTCGACCAATGATATGTTTATCCTGATTCCATCTCAGTGATTTTAGAAATGGCATTTTTAAATAGATTTTGTGCACAAAGAAAACAGTAGCCAGCAGAAAAGATAGTTCATTTGGAAGGGGCATTGCTGGGTATTTGGTTCTGGGAACAAGCCAAGTCACTTTCTCGTACGCTTTAGACAAGTCATGCCTACATCACAACATGCCTTCACCACACAATAAAAAGACTCAAAGGCCATCAGCCAACAGTAGAGATGCAACCGCTGTGGACCTTTGAAGATGCAAAGTGTTGCAGTAACTTCTCGCAGTTGGATCATATCAATAATACCAAACTGACAGGAAGCCACATCTATTTTCACACATCTACTCAAAAAAATCACAGAAGAATCTGACTTTGGAAAGAGTTCCAGACACAGACACACACACACACGCGCGCGCGCACACACACACACACACAATTACAAACACAAACATGTGACAGTGATTACAACCACTGAGAAAAACAACTCAAGAAGATGAACGAGTAGGCATCTCAACGGTATGTTTTCAACAATACTTCCTTAGACAGAGAAACATTTGAAAAGCTACACTGGAAATATTAACCCAAAAAGTTAAATAAATAAATAAATAAGCTATCAATGAGAATTTGGTCATGCTTCATGCAACATGTAACAGCAGCAAAACAGGGTGAGGTCACATGGTGAAAGCTATGATACTTCATATTAAGAAATATGTCTAAATACACTAGGGAAAACAGAAAGCTGTAAGGTCATCTCAAGAAACAGTACTCATTCAGTAAATCAAATGTGATAATCTGGCAATTTAGTAGCAGGGTCCTAAGTCTGCACTGAGTACTGCACACAAAATAAAATGTGCAAAATGTTATCAAAATAAGCGTAAGGAAAGAGTTAAGTGTAAGGGCTTGGTCTCTGTTTTGTGGATAAAAGGACACAAATTCTGTTCTACAAACTGGAAAGTAGCCACAGGGAGGAGGAGGTCATGGGGAATGTGGATGTGTTATGTAGACAAATGGCACCACAGAGTCTGGTGGACACCAAGACACACCAGGACAGGACAGAAACAGACACCGAGGCTGGAGAGGAGCGTCCTCCTTTTCAACTTGAATAGCATTTGTTCCCACCGTTGGTGCCATAACTGAAAACATAATTGTGTCTTTTGTAGTTTTTTTTTGTTTGTTTTGGTTTCCTGCAAAGAAGTTAGTGCGTCATCCAAAAGAATCAACAAATCAAACAAGAAAAGCAATATGCTACTTTCAATTTTTATGTACTCTAGTTGGAGAGGGATTTATATATAAATATACATTTATAAATATGTACATATACAATAGACAAGGGAATGAGATTATATATACATATATACATATGTATATATAATCCCTATCTTCCTGAATTCTTGGCAAATAGTTAGTCCTGTGGTTAGAAGTGAAGATAGAGGGTGGAGGTTGGGAGGAAAGTTAACGAAGAGTGCATACCGCTTTCGGCTTCTGCAAAACGACAAGAAAAGAATTTAAATCAAACAATGTGATAATAAACTGACTGACACCAAAAGAAAGAGAAGGAATAAAACCTTTGTTTCAAGTTATTTGAAGGGTGCATGTGAAAGCAAGGTTTTTCGGCAAGGCATGGGAAGGGTGTCATGGGGTGAAACAACAGAGGAGGCCGTTCAACACAGGCTGGAGGAAAGCGGGTGAGAAGGGGAAGCAGGGCTCTCTGAGTTTTAACATCAGGTCACTTAGAAAATGTGAGAGGAAAGGAAATGGGCCATTTCTGAATGCAGGAAAAAGCCTAAAATTATTATTTCAGGAAGGGTCAAACACTTGGTTCTCTGAAACACGGATATTGTGTTTAGTAAGTCGGGTGTTTTCTCAGAGGCATGATCCACATTCCCTCAAATACACCTTTTTCCACAAGAACCAATGAGCTTCCACACTGAGACCAAGCCACATTTGAGGATTAAAGCTGGCAAAGGCACACAGAAAGCCAAAACAAAGCCAAACAAGTTCTCTTCTCCCTTTCCTTAAAAAAGAAAAAAGAATCTAAAGAACTCTGTCTATACATATGGCTTTGTTGAAAACATCTCTGATATGTGAATTAATTGGAGAATCCGTCAGAGTAAAGATCCTCTCCTCAGAACACCTCTGATTCCTTTTTCTCAGAGTGGTGACAATGCATTCACACTGAACCATTAACAGACTTTCTCTGTTCCTCCTTGTGACCAAAAAGTGACAGGTGAGACATGACTGGTCAAGGTTCAGTGTACAGTCTCCTGCTATAAAATTTTTCCAGAATGGTTGAGAAACACTATTCGGCATCACCCCCATCATGACACTTTTTTGAGAGATGCACAAATAAGAGAGAACACTGAATTACACAAAGATTTACTGACTTGGCAACACAAAGGATATCATTTGCAAAAATCCCTTCACAGGTACAGGTGAATATTGGCAACAGCATGGGCAAGCAGTAGTCCCAGAAACACCCATGTTATCTGTTAATAGCAAATAATCAGGACTCTCGGTCGTTTTGTCTTTTTTTTTTTTTGCAAATAATATTCTTCACTTTGCCAACACAGAAGAGAACAATGTATATCTATATACATATTTGTTAACTGTTACATCCATGTTCTACATGTGTCTACCAAATCTACCATTTTTTCTTCCTCTTGGTTGATTTGGATTTTCGTAAGAGCTGAATGCTTGATCAGATTGATTTTGTGAGCAATCTGATCTGGGGGTTAAGGTAACAGAGAACATTGGATTAACTTGCTTATAATCCAGTGTGCTTCAGTTATAGAGACACAGACCGCACATTTGAAAGTCTGGCTTTATTGAGTCATTCATCCAAATAATGAAAACTCCTTAAATGATGATAGCAGGAACCTTCTAGTCTTGCCCTGCACTCTGCTCAGTCATTAAGGTGCATGTCGGAGGGCACTGCACTCTACAGGAAGACTTACTGACTACAACCAGGAACAACCCACGGGTGGCATTCCAGAGGACAAAAGCCTGAACATTTCCCAATGAGTTATCTTTCTGTCAAAACTATGGATAACAATAGGGGGAGGGAGGTGTGGCAAAAATCATCTCTATTTTATCTGTAATACATACACTATTTCATCAACAGATTTCCTCTTTAATGCGATGCTTCCTTCTTCCAATGTGACCTCAGATATTGACTGGGGTGTTATCTGTTTCAACCAGGCCCAGTCCCTCATCAGTCTGATTTGCACATAATTAAGTACAAAATAAATAAATAAAGAGGGCTCCTGCCTCTGAGCCTTGATCTCCTGGCTAATTTACATGAAGCTGTTATTCTGCCACCTGGATTTCAGCTGCACCGGGAGCAGCACATATGGTCCACAATAGGCTGCTTGTAATTTGGCTATCAAGAGAGCTCATATCTCCCATCACGGCTCTGCCCTGCCTGCTGGGAAGGGGGCCAGAGTCCACCTGCTTTGTGCTCACAACAGTAAAAAGGAGTAAGAGGACAGTGCCTGTCCCTGCTTTTATGCTGAGAGGGTGGAAAGTGAGCATTGGCATGATCGGGTGGAGACCTGAGTGTCTTATCCCCTGGAGAAACACTCTCAACGCCCAGGGGGGCTCCAGATGCCAGGTGGGTCCAGGATAGAAACGCCTGTGTCTGGTTGAACATGCCTCGAAAAGGGTCCTAACATCAGAGAGGTGTTGCATCAGGGTTCCAAGCACATAAATAATGCCTAAGAAAGAAGAAGTGGACCAAACGTTCCCAGGGTGCACTCTCACCATCGTAAAAGGCAGCTGGCCGCTGAGACACAGCAAACTTACCGGCTCTCTCGGTTGGCAGACTTGTACTCAATGGCTATCATTAGGAGCTTGAGCTTCACAAAACACAGCCTGCAAAGAGATGGGGAAACCTCCCAGTCAGTGCTTCTGAGGACCAGAACCACTTTGCAAACACTATTATGACCTTTTCATCTCCTAATCGTCGTTATCCAAGGGTCCCTCATTCCACAGTCACTGTGCCAAACGGACAGGGCTGTGAGTGACACCTCCCAGCATCCCCATTAAAGCCGATTTCTCGCAAGCGATAAGGCACTGAATGTTCAAAGTGCAAATTGCACTCAGGTCTAGATGTCTAGACACAGACCCCAAGCAGAAATTGGTGCCCGGGGATTTATGCTGGGCCAGATTCATTAGTTTCTCGGTTGGGTAGTAAAATGTTAACTGCAGGGGGAGGGAGGTTTTTGGAGCAGCTGGACCTGCTATTTGGATACCACTTTGGTCTTTTGTACAAATGGCTCATATTGTTGTTCGGAGCAGACCCCTGTGTGCTCGGAATGATGGTAATAATCCTTGGCCTTCGTGTAACTGCCCAGCACATGACTGCAGCACCGTCGTTCCTGGCTCCAGCCAAGCTCTCTCACCTCATCTGCCCGCCACTCTTGCCTGCAGCCCAGACCGCTTTGAAGTGGACTCGGTCCTGCCTCTGTGCCTTCACTGATGCAGATCCTGTCCCCAGAACGTCTTTTTCTCTCTTCCCAACCCCCTTCCCAGGCCCACATCAAATCTAACCTGTGTGGGTCTTCTGCAGCTACCACAGCCCTCTGATTTTATTTCTACTCTCAGAACTCCTCCAGCACCTTGTCTGCAACCATATCATCTATCCTTGAGTCAATCTAACACTGGCTGTGGTTTCACATATCTGAAGTTTGTCTTCTCAACCAGCGTAACTTCCTTAAGAGTTTTAGACTGATTTGAAATTCCCCATAGTGCTGTGCATGGAACCACTGATACAGACAAGCTCAAGAAACCATTCCCACTACTAGGGTCCAATTCTAAGAAAATAATAACAGGTTCTGGAAAATACTTTCAACATAAAGGTGTTCAAGTTAGGAGTGTTTATACAGAATAAAAAAAATGAAAACAATCTAAGTGTTCAGTAATAAGGCAACTGTAAAAGCATGGTACTATATGGTATGTATTAGCATTCAAAATGACATTTTGAAAACTATTTTATAGTGTAAGATCAATAAATATTATATAGATACAAATACGTAACTAACAATATAGGAGGTAAAAATATATATTTATATACTCATAGAAATAAAAGCTTGTATCAATAAAAAATGCATATATTGAATTCATTATAACTGTGCTCCTACAATGAGCATTATCACTTATGTTCCAAAGACTTTTGGATAATAAAGGAATGGTTTACTGATGGATGGACAGGTGAGTTGATTGTTATTCAGCTCCAGCATTGTGAGGAGGAGGATATTCTGGGTCACAGGTCAAGGCCTTTCTTGGTGCTTTCATTTAATCCCCACAATCCCTGAGAGGAAAATATTATCCTAGTTATTCAGATTTCTATTAATATCTCTATTTTACAGGTGACGAAACTAAGGCTCAGAAAGTTCAGGTAGCTTGCCAACGTCCCCAGCTACTACTCGGCAGGATATACAACATCTTCATCCCCAGTGAAGCCTATTTTGTGTCAGCAGAGATAGGCAATAAGCAAATATACAATGAATAAACAATAGATTTTAAGATGAACACAAGTACTATGCAGAATACAAAACCACCAAGAGAATAAAGAATAACTGAAAAAGCGCATTATCTGCAATGATCCAGGAGGACCATTCTGAAGTCACATACAGCACCAAGCAACGGAGTGTGACGAGAAGAAGCAGGCAATGAGAGGGTGTGGGGAAAGGGCACCCTGGGGAGCAGAAACAGCAAGCGCAAGGGCCCCGCGAGGCTGGAAGGAACTTGAGGTCTTTGAGGACCAGCAATAATAACTGTGATAATGACTGGGTCAGGGAGCTGGGGGGAGCCAGGAGATTTTGTTGGCCACAGCAAGGAGTCTGCAGCTTATTCCAAGTGGAATGGGAAACTCTGGTTGGCTTTAAACAGCAAAGTGCCAAAATCAGATGTGCTGGGCTTGAGGATGTGTTATGTACAGTGCTGATGAAGGCCTCATGCTCTCTGTTGGGAATAAGACCAATTGCTCATTCATGCCTGTGAGGTCATGGTCCTCCATATTGCTTTCAACAAACAGTCAGATTTCAAAGGACCACTTCCATGCAAATGTATTGGGGCTCTCGGGTGATTTGCAGGTTTTCTGATTCCTGCCAGCAGACTCTAATGACCTGGGCTTTATGCTGATTACACAGTTTGCTGAAACACCAATCCAACTACAGCTGGAAAAATGCTCTTCTTAATTTACGTCCCATAGAGCACCACTAACACGCACCTTTTATGGGGCTGTTACTTCTGGAGCTTAAACTGTTTAAAATATCAGATGGCTTATGCAATATTTGTTGAACCAAATTACTAAGATTAAATAAGCACTTTCAAATGTAACTAGCAGCTAAATGCCAAAAAACTCAAGGAAAACTGTGATCTTAACTTAGCAAGGATCATGAAGAGGCCAAGTTGCTGATTTGACAAGCAATGGCCACTCTGATTTGGGACCCTGATAGTTCATGGGATCCACAATCTTAATTGCTTTAACCAGCTGATCCTGTGGGTGAGAAGGGAAGAAATAATTCATAGTAATAATCAATAATGAATAATGTCTTCCTAGCTACTACGAAACTATTTACCAACTAGATATAAAAAGAAAGGAGCTTTCTAATGCAGGGAAGTCAATAAAATCTATGTGGCTTTGTGCACATTCATAATCTAGCTGGGGGTATACCAGCAGATCACTGAGTCCTCTTTCATAACTTTCAAATCTCTATCTAAGATAATTCTATATTACTTTACAGATACCACTTTTTAAGAAGCCGTTTGACCCAAAACATGCTTTTGCTCTCTGGCCAAAGGGACAAAGAGGAGAGGGGCAGAGTGATGTAAACAAGGTGATTATATACAAACAGTGCCACAGCCACGGTTTCTCAGACTCCGGCCCTTCAAGACTGGCTGATCCTGCTCTTCTCATACAGACGCCAAACTAAGGTCCAAAGATGGGAAAGCAACTTGCTCAAGGTCAAATGGCCTTTACATAGAAAAGCCAAAAGTGGAAACTAAGCAATTTATTCAAGGTTAAACAACTGTTATGCAGAAATGTCAAAAGTGGAAATCAAGTCTCAATGCAGTGCTGCACAGATGTTTCTCATAAAAGTGGAGGAAATGAGTGGTGGCCAGCAGCCCACTGTGCAGACAGGTTCTGTCTGGTCAGTACAGTGTTTTGCTCTTTTGTTTTTTTAAATTGGCATCAGATAACAACAGGTGATCTCATATAAAAACTAGTTTTCCAGATTTCCTGGACAAATCAGAAATGGCCACACTGAAGCTAGTATTGATTGGCACTTCAAAGTACTTGCCCCTTTAGACCAGACATGTGCTCTCCAATTTGCCACAGTCGCCACCACTCCCTGTTGTCTCAGACCTCATTCTTCACTCTCTGTTGCTATCTGTCCCCTACAGGTATCTATGTTTTTAATCTCTGATGTAAGAGTATCATCTAGATGTTTGCAAAATACCAATCTTGAGTAATTTACTATTTACAGTGGAAGCAGAACTATGTCTCCCCTGGTAATCAGTTTTTAGTTAGAGCCTGCCACAGAGAGTTGGCCAATGTTAGGGTACTAGGCTTAAGGCTGCAGCAGAGGTGCCGCCCCAGCCCCACTGGAGGTCCAGTGGGAAAAACAGATCAAGGAGAGTAAACAGGGGAGAGGGTGTGGTTTCATGTGGTAATCCTTTATTTATTCATCTCTCTGCCCTCTAGACTGAGCTTCTTCCATGCAAGATGCATGCTTTCTCTCCCCGGCATTTTGCAGGTGCAAAGCATAAGTAATGTATAAAATACATTGTATAAATGTATAAAAGAATGGGGAGTAGAACCTCAGGAGTTGCTGGAAAAATACAGAAGAGTTAAAGTGGTAAACTGGGAAAGTCTAGTTTAGACAGACAAAGCTTGGAAGTGAGTATAGAATCATGAAACAAAATGCTTCTTGTCTTGTTCTATAAAAGCACACAGATTGGGCAGTGGTTGGGGGGCAGGTGTAGAAGGAAATAATAGCAGTGATGTGCTCTGGGAATCTAATTTTTGCCTTCAATCTACTATGCTACAATGTAAGCACAAATCTACGATACAGACATTAATTTCTCCTTGGGACCCTCTACAAATCTTGTTATAAGAAGCTTGCCCTCAAGAATTTGCCTTCAGACTACCCAAAATTGATATCCTGAGATTACACATTTACTTGAATCATTCAGCACCTTCTTTTTTTTTTTTTGGTAAAACAGAATGGGCTTTGCCCATCTAATCCTTACAGTCATTCTGGGCCTTGACTCAGGCTACCGTGTTTAAACATATACAGGAATGGGTGGGGTGAGAAAGGAGGCATAGGGTGAAGAGGGGATCAGAAAGAAGCAAGAATTTTCACAATGTGGTAAACAGAATGAAATCAGCCATAAGTTAGCAAGAATTTAATTCTTGTTTTCTAAAATAAAATGTCCCAATATGTCCAGTGCAGGAAGTTGTTGCTGGCTGCAAAAATAATTACAGAGGAATGGAAATGACTTCTTTTTTTCTTTCTAGAAAAAAATGTCACTGTCACAAAAAGGTCTTAAACCAGCAATCTGCAATAAAACTGTTGTAATAACAAGTTAGATTGCTTTCTTGATAATTATTAAGTAGAGGTCTACTCAATTTGACAATGACATTATACAAAGCTCCCCCCCCCCTTTTTTTTACTGCCAGCATCATCTGTTAACCATAGTAGTTTCAACCCAGATGTTCCTGAGCAAAGGCTCTTAAGAATTAGAGTCCAACTGTTTCTACCTACCCAGAGGGACATAAATTGTTCTTGCCATTAAATCAGCCCCCTTGACTAGAAAGATTGCTTGCGAGTGTGAATTAAGCATAGAAAACTGTCATAGAGTAT